TTCAAACTTTGAAAGCTTATAAAAATTGTGACTATGAATTTTTTTTTATTTTTCAACTGCTATTGTAACAATATCAATATTTTAAGAGCCTTGTATTGAATTTTCAAGCTTTTCTACCCAACAAATACATTTTTATCGATATTAATTTAAAAAAAAACTAATAATGGTTGATAATTGCAAATACCTATGAATAGTACAACTTAAGTTTAAAATTGCATGGGTGGATAGAATATACTTAAATGAACATTTGGTGAACATTTCATGTATCTATGATCATTTGTTTTAAAGTTACATCAAAAACGAAAATCGMTTATGTCGAAAACTGATTGTGCGTAAAATTTCCCATTTTCCTCTTACTTTTTAGTTTGTTTATCCCGATTATTTAGAAAAAAATTAAGAATTTTTTACTTTTGACCCCCCAATGTACCAACTAGATTCACTTTCTGATCGAACGAATCTAGGACAAAATATCCAAATTTTACGTAAATTAGTAGATTACACTTTATTTTCTAATAAAATTAACTCCTAAATATATAAATTACGTTAATAGTACTTATAATAATAATATAATATCACAAAATRTTGAAAAATACTGGCTGATTTTCCTACAAAATAGTAGAACAGACATGCAGTGTATAGATATAATATGAATCATACGAGTGTCTGTATGGTACGTTTGCACATAGGTAAGTATGTATACTGGTGTAGCTGRTGTTATAAAATAGCAATGTATCTGATTGTTTATAGGTTAAGTTTAACAACTAACGCGTTTCATTCAAATATTGTATTTATACCTATTATTATGGTAAGGTATAGCAAAGTTTACATTTGGGTTCGTGGATCTTGTAGGATTACTGGATGAGTAGTATTGGGTCCTGAATTTTGAGGACGTCAGCGCACTACTAATTTATTTTACCTCTGTGAATCACRATTAGTACCGAAATTATTATTCAGAAAAACCAATCATGTTTGTTTTTAGCTTTGGTATTACTGTATTAGAATGTATGTTTTAATACCGRAATTATTATCCATTTAAATGTACAATAATATACAACTGCAGTTGATGCTACCCGATGCATTTAATTCAAAAATTGAAATAATTTACTTTTTTAAACGTATTTGCCCTCAAACAGCTATAAATGTATACCTGAATGCAGTATGTGGTGTTTCGATAAATCATTTTTCCACAATAAATTCACTAAAGTACAATATAATTTATTATTTAGTATTTAAAAAATGTACTTCCTTCATAGTAAATATCAGAAAAAATATACCTTATAACTTAAAAAAAATGTATATATATATAGATTTAGGTATAATTATGCATTATCTAAACACACGACTATTTTCAAAGTATCTATATTATAGTACTTAATAAAATAAAAATTGTTTTTTTCAAGAACTTTACTTGAAAAGGGTTTGTATCAGTGTATACTTGTCTAATGTCTAAGATTTCGGTTGCATATTCTTTATTAATTTATTTTTA